ACGCTCTTTTTCATTTCTTCATTGTTATTAGGCCATGTAATAGGAGGCTAAAATGACAAGTTATTTGTGATGTGGGAGTAGGATAAAAGCAGAGCATTTCTTTGGTAAACAAATTTGCATGCATAAATTAAACTCTCATTTCAGCTTCTGGGAATAATGAAATGATTCATGATAAAAAAGCAGAAATAACTTTATTACTTATTGTGATCAAACTTTTCTTATGTGTTTAACATATTTAGTGAAAGAAAAATATTTCTACTGCTAAAAACTAATTCGTCCATCAACTAGTCCATGCAATCTCTTTTGTATTTCAAGTTCCCATGTAAGCATAGGTCTATTTTTAGGCTAGTTATTACAACTTTGTGTATCTTGTATTCTGTGTATCTTGTATTCTGACAGACAATTTCTTTCCACTTTTCCAGAAATGTCTTAACTATTTCTGGCTCCTTGCAAATGCTCGAATTTTAGATTTAGCTTGTTAAATAAAAATTCTTTGGGAACTTTAATTGGGATTGAAAACAACTTGTGATTTGAGGGGAATGAAAATCATTACAATGTGTAGTCTTCTTATCCATGAACTTGGTATAATCTCTCCATTTATTCAGCTTTTGTTGTCCTTGTACTTTAGTTTCTGGTATTCTTGGATTGTCTTAGGATTTTTCCTCAACGATGTTAATATTTTGTTATTCATTGGTGATTTTAACTAGCTTACACTGCCTGGCAAATTTTTACTTAGCCTTGGAGTTTCAGTTTAAAGCCACCTCCTGGCTGAAGGCTTTCCCCGTGGCTCCTGCCACTCAGAATATTTTGCATATATTTGCAAAAGGAAATATTTACTGATAGCTTACTATATGCCAGAGTGTTGTGTTAAGCACTCTCTGAGCATTAACTCATATAATCTACAAAGCAATTTTTTGAAATCAAATTTGGTGTTATTATCTCCACTTTATGAAAAATAAGCCCAGAGAACAGAACTTGGCTAAGGCACACAGTCAGGATGGGGCAGGGCCAGGGCGCAGGCCCAGGCAGTGTGGCTCCAGAGCCCGTGCTCTGACGGCACGACGCTGCCTTTCAAGCAGCTGTATGATTGTACTGAAATGGTTTACATGCATTCATTCACACATCCCAGAGAAACTGTTTTGAATGCACACACTGGATCAGGTACTGTAAAAGGTGCTGGTTAAACATAAGGTGTTAAAGAAAACAGACATTAAATAAAAATTGCCCCAATAAATATATAGGTACAAATAGTGCTAAGTTCCCTGCAATGGGAGTGGGGGAGGGAAACCTAGGGTTAGATGAGAGAATTACAAAGGGGGAAGGGCATCAGGCAGGCAGGTACAGGGAGAGTCTGGGGGAAAATGTGTTCTTAGGTGGAGGTTTCAGGAAAAGAGAGTCATGAACTTGATTTAGGTAAGATGTGTTGAGTTTTAGGGCCTGAAGCCCCATCAGGTTAAAAAAAATGATGCAGGACAAAAATAACATAATCATACCAATAGACGCTGAAAAAGCATTTGATAAAATTCAACATCCGTTTATGATAAAAATACTCAGCAAAGTGGGAATAGAGGAAGCATACCTCAACATAATAAAGGTCATATTTGAGAAACCAACAGCCACCATCATACTCAACGGGCACAAACTAAAAGCTTTCCCCTTTAGATCAGGAACAAGACAACGGTGTCCATTTTTACCACTCTTATTCAACTTAGCACTGGAAGTCCTAGCCACAGCAATCAGACAAGATAAAGAAATAAAAGGCATCCAGACTGAAAAGGAGGAGGTAAAACTGTCATTGTTTGCAGACAACATGAGAGTGTGCATGGAAAACCCTATGTCTCCACCAAAAACCTACTCAACCGAATAAGTGAATTCGGCAAAAGAGCAGGATACAAAGTCAATATTCAGAAATCAATCACATTTTTGCACACCAAAATGTAATATCAGAAAGAGAAACCAGGAAAAAATCCCATTTACTATAGCAACAGAAAAATAAAATACCTAGGAATAAACTCAACCGAGGAGGTAAAAGACCTGTACTTGGAAAACTATAGAATAGTGAAGAAAGAAATTAAGAAAGGTATAAATAAATGGAAGCATATACTGTGTTCATGGATTGGAAGAATTAACATCATTAAAGTGTCCATACTACCCAAAGCAATCTAAAGATTCAATGCAATTCTTATTAAATACTAATGGCATATTTCACAGATCTAGAACAAATATTTCAAAAAATTATATGGAACCAAAAAAGACCCTGAAGAGCCTCAGCGGAACCAAAAAAGACCCCAAATAGCCTCAGCAATCATGAGAAAGAAGAACAATGTAGGAGGGATCACAGTACCTGATATCAAACTATATTACAAGGCCACTGTAATCAAACCAGTCTGGTAATGGCATCAACAGATGCGTAGACCAATGGAACAGAATAGAGAACCCACAAATAAACTTATGTCTCTATGGTCAATTAATATTTGACAAAGAGGGCATAAGTATATAATGGAGTAAAAAGAGCTTCTTCAATAAATGGTGTTGGGAGAACTAGTCTGGCACATGCAAAAAAATGAAACCAGGCCACCAACTTACACCACACACAAAAATAAACTCAAGATGGATAAAAGATTTAAATATAAACCATGACACAATGAAAGTCCTAGAGGAAAACATAGGCAGTAAAATTTCAGATATCCTACATAGCAGTATTTTTGCCAATATATCTTTTAGGGCAAGGGAAATAAAGAAAAAAAATAAACAAATGGGACTACATCAAATTAAACAGCTAAACATTCTGCAAGGCTAAAGAAACCATCATCAAAGTGAGAAGGGAACCCCGATCATATAGGAGAACATATTTGCCAATGATACATCAGACAACGGTTTAATCTCCAATACATATAAAGAGCTCATCTGACTCAACACCAGGAAACAAACAATCCAAATTTAAAAAATGGGCAGAGGACCTGAATAGACACTTCTCCAAGGAGGACATACAGATGGCCAACAGACATATGAAAAGATGCTCAACATCACTAGCCATCAGAGAGATGCAAATCAAAATCACAAGGAGATATCACCTCACACCCGTCAGAATGGCCATCATTAATAAACCAACAAACAACAAGTGCTAGTGCAGATGTGGAGAAAAGGGAACCCTAGTGCATTGCTGGTGGGAATGCAGACTGGTGCAGCCACTGTGTAAAATAGTATGGAATTTCCTCAAAAAACAAAATGAAACTGACTGCCTTTTGACCCAGAGATTGCACTGCTGGGAATATACCCTAAGAACACTGCAACACCAACTCAGAAGAACTTATGCAACCCAATGTTCATAGCAGCGTTATTTACAATAGCCAAGTGCTGGAAACAGTCTAAGTGCCCATCAGTAAATGAGTGGATCAAAAAGCTATGGTACATCTATACAATGGAATACTATACAGCAGAAAGAAGGAAGGAACTTCTACCTTCCACAACAGCATGGATGGAATTGGAGAATATTATGCTAAGTGAAATAAGCCAGTCAGAGAAAGACAAATATGCTATGATCTCACCTGTAAGAGAAACCTAATGAATAAAAATAAACTAACAAACAAAACAGAATCAGAGGCATGGAAACATGGGACAGACTGACAGTGACCAGAGGGGAGGAGAGAGGCATAATAGGGGAAAGAAGGGGAAGGGACTAGTCAAAGAATATGCATAAATGACCCATAGACATGGACAACAGGGTGGGGACTGACTGTGGGAGCGGGGGTGGGGGGAATAGCCTGGGCAGAGGAGGGCAAAGGGGGAAAAATGGGACAACTGCAACAGAATAGTAATACATTTTTTTTTTTAAGAATGGAAATATGGAGATCTGGGGCTCCAGCATCATGGCTGGATTGAAGTTAGGGTGGTAATTATTAAGGCGTCAACTGTGGTTAAACCTCTGGCAGGCTTAAGACTCCCCAAAAGGAAGCTGCAGAATGAGAAGACAGGCAGGCAGAGAAGGAGAAAGAAGGAAAGGAGAAAGCGATAGACAGGTGGCGGTGTCTGCATCCCTGTATTTCCAGCACCCAAAGCAGGGCTTAGCACAGAATAGGTGCTCAGTACTTGTTGGCAGGTGGCCAAATGAATGAATGGCCCTTTAGTGCAGCCTTGGTGAAGTCCGTTCCTTGCTGGACCTGTTTTCCTCAGTAGAATGGCAGTGGCAGCCTTGGTCAGGAGGGCAGAGGCTGTTGTTGGGGATCCGTCCGCCCCCCAAGGGGAGCACCCATCATTCTGATGTCCACCAAAGTCCTTGCGCACGTCGGCGGGCGGGCTGCGCGGGTGTTCTCGGAGTGCTGAAAGCGCTCAGCCCGCGGAGGGCCGGAGCTTTGCCTCCTCCGCGAGCGCGGTGGAGCGAGCGCCCGGACTCGCTGAGTAGAGGGCGCGCGCTGGAAGAGGTCCAGTTGCCCAGAGAAACGCGGACGCTTCGGGGAGGCCAGGGAGACGCGGAAAAGGGAGGCCTGTTGTGTGGAGGCGAGGGGCAGGGTCATCACTTCTGCTAGAGACCCCTTCCGAGGGGTGGGTGCGAAGGACGGAAAGAATGACGTGAAAAGGAGCGAGAGACCGAGAAGATTTAGCGAGACCCCAAGAGATACGGGGACATTCATCTGGGACGCCTGCAGGGCGCAGAAAGGGCAGGTGAGGACGGACAAGGGGGGCCACACGGCAAAGCTGGCGGAATGAATGGCCGATCACATCCCGCTTGGCAGCCCTGGGGAGCGTCTCTGTCCAGGGCAGCACTGGAAAGACTTGGAGAGTTGCCGGGGCCCGGGCCGCTCCTGGAGGGCGGGTCCGAAGCGCTGGAGTCCGCAGGAGCCTCCATCCGCCGCCGGGTGGCAGAGTTGGGGGCAGGCGGGCCCCAACGACCCCGCGGGGTGGCCACGCCCCCGGGCCTGGCGGAGGCCCCACCGTGGGGGGCGGAGTTGCCGCCACCCCCCCAACCCCCGGGGACTGTGGCCCCTTCTTAAGCCCGCGGAGCCTCTGGCTGCCCCACACACGCCTCTCCCGCCCATCTCCCTCCAGCACGATGGCTTCGGCACTGAGCTATGTCAGCAAGTTCAAGTCCTTCGTGATCTTGTTCATCACCCCGATACTGCTGCTGCCACTCATCATTCTGGTGCCCGCCAAGGTCAGTTGCATCTCCCGACTGTCCCGCGGTCTCCAAGCGCCCGGGCCCCTGCAATGGGCTCTGAACCCGGGGCACAGTTGGAGTGCGTGGATTTCTGGGTGGGCACAGCTTCCCTAGGGGTTGCAACTCGGGGGCTACTGGTATCAGATGGGAGGTGTCCTGTAAAGAATTCCGAGGAGCATGGAAGCACCGGGCACACCAGCCTAGGGGTTCACAGATCCCGTGACACAAGAACAGTGTCAACAAGCACAAAAACCTAGACGTTAGCACAGATCCTAGCCACATAGCCCACCCATAGGTTCACCCCGGGACGCAGAAGCAGAATCTCCCGAGGGCATAACCTCATTCCCTCCCCACCCCCACCCCGCCATTCCAACTGTAGCCTGGCCGCTGACAGGGAGCCTGGGAGCTTGTCCTTCCTTCTCTCTCCTTCTCTCCCTTTAGTGAATGAGGACTTCCCAGCTGTAGGTGGCTTCCCGGGTCAGTCAGGGACCGAAGTGGACCCTGAGTGCTGTCTTCTCCATTCTCTGGCCCTCTTTGAGCCTCCGTTTCCCTGTTTATGATCCACATTTCTTTCCAACTCTGAATCCCTGGAGGTCACAGCTGAGTCAAAATCCTTCCCCCACCTGAAAGGAAGGTCAGGGTTGGTCCGCTTTGCTCGCTGCCCACTGTGGCTGTGGTAGGAGGCGGACATGTTCCCAGAGCTCACGCCTTGGGTGGCACAACCCAGGGCTGCAGGGAAGCTGCGTCCCATGCCCTGGCCTCCTTGCGCTCCTGGGAGGGAGGCAGAGAATGAATGGCCTTGGTCGCAGGGCGAGGGTGGTGCTGGGAGCCCTGGCCCAGACTGCGCTGGGCTGTGCGAAGCCTGTTTGGCAGAGGCCCGAGCCCTTTGAAGCCTTTTGTGGCTGCTGGCTGCTCCTTCCTCATTCCCTCTTTCAGCCCTTTCACTCTCAGCCCAGACAGGAAACCCCCAGCTGCCCGTCCCTCCCAGGCAGGTTTGGGAAACAGAGGAGTTCTTTAGGGATATTCTGGGGGCAATACCGGAGGGCTGGGGGTGTAGTGGGGTATCTATCAGGAAGCTGACTCTGCAAGGGAACTGACTTCCTCCACTCACAGCTCCTTGCGATTTTAGAGAAAACCCCTTCGTTTTCTGGGCCATGGTGTTCTTGTCTGTAGAGTGGAGCAAGGTGGCTTGGTTCTGACACTTCAGGGCTTTGGGTGCTCAAAGGGATTATGCTGGTTCCTAGGATGGGGGAGGAGAGGCTGAGAGGAGCCCATGAGCTGGCTGAGCACAGGCCCAGGATGGGCCTGGACAGCAGATCCAACTGCCATGGCCTTTCAGTTGCCATACCAACTGCGAGCAGCCACATTTCCTCTGTAGAAAGAGATTTGGGGCTGTTACCATCTGTGGGAGGCAGCCAGGCAGGAGAGCTGTGATTTCAGTTCTGCTGGCAGGGACTGACGTTTCCTGGAATAATTATACAGCTTGGGTGAGTGTGACTGAGACCCCTCTCCCAGCCTGCTATACACACACACACACACACACACACACACACACACACACAGCCCTGAACTGGGACCACCTCCCCCCATCCCCCCACTCAGTGTGTACAGTATCATTAACCGGCCTTGGGAGCGAGGATCAGGGAGGGAAGAGGAGACATCTGTGAAAGTCCTTCCCAAGTCTGCCTCCATGTGCTTCCCCTCCCAGCGGGACAGGTGACCGGGAGCCTGGACTTCTCCCCTGGTGTTTTCTCCCTTTGTGCCCCTGTTTAATCACCACCGAAGAGCTCCCGGCCCCTACCCCCCATGGCCACCCCATTGTGCAAGGGAACCCCAAGGTACTGGCATGGAACAGAGCGGCTGGGGAGCCGGCGAGATCTTGGCAGCTCAGTGGGCACTGGCCAAGCGGGGAGGCGACTCCAACGGCTCGCCGCCCTCTGGCCGAGACGGCCGGTCCACTGCAGCCTGCCTTCCTGTCTGCCTCGCCTCCACCTCGCCTCCTGCCTGGCTTCATCTCTGCTCCACTTTTTCTGCCCTCTCTCTAGGTCCTTTAAAAAATTTTTTTTTAATAAAATAGCTTTTTCATAAAATCAATGATGTTTATTGTAAACACTGATTTTATTAAAACTAAAAAATATTCTTTTTTTTAAAGTCTGTAAGGTAGAAAGTAAAAATGAAAATACCCTCAAATCCCATAACTTAACTAATATTTTGATGGCCATCCTTCCAGAAATCAATCACTTCATCTCTTCTTTTTCTTTCCCTCTCTGTACACATACGCACGCGCGCGCAGCATGTTCTCTTACCTACCTTTTTTTTCTATTAAGCAACACGTCATGGACAGCCTTATTTGTTAATAATTATACATGGTTTTATTTATTTGTGCTCTTTTTAAAAAATAAGATGCATGTATTTATTTTTAGAAAGGGGAAAGGAGGGAGAAAGAGAGGCTGAGAGACATCAATGTGTGGTTGCCTCTCATACGCCCACTACTGGGGACCTGGCCCACAACCCAGGCGTGTGCCCTGACTGGAAATCAAACCGGCGACCCTTCAGTCAGCACACAATCCCGGAGCCACACCAGCCAGGGCTATTTGTGCTCTTAACATGTATTTATTGAGCCCTAATATGTTCTGGGTGCTGACTTTTCAATCCACTTTTTAGGACTTTTAAGTGCTTTAAGCACTTTTCCAGCCACATTCCAGCTGCAGGGAAGTGCTCTGAGCTGACCCACAGGGAGCTGGGCTCCTCTCTGCAGGGAGGGGCCATCTCATTCTGTGCAGTAACCACCCCCTCCTCAGACTGGTCTGGCATCGCCCTTCCTGGGCTGTGCCCCCCCCCCCCCCCCGCCCCTCGCCCCACACTGAGGGAGCGCTCTAGATGAGGAGGATCAACTCTGCCTCCGGGATGGGGCATCTCTTGGGCCTCTTGATAGTGGCATGGAGGTGAGGAGCCAGTTAGTTTTGTGTCTTTTTTGTTGGTTATATTTGGTGCCTCCAGGAGCTGTGCTGTGACAATGGGTTAAAGGTGCTGATAACTTTAGATAATAAAAATCCGCCGAGCACTGTGTGCCATACGTTAAAAATGGCTACTCTTAACTCCTCAATGTACAGGTGAGGACACGAAACAGGCCGGGAGAGGGGCCGAGGTTGGGAGGGAGATGAGTATTTTATTGATGACATTGCTGAGGCACTGCTGAGAGCCAGACACGGGCAGACAGTGGATCCTGATCACGTCTGCCTGGGGTCTCCCAGGGCTGCTAACCGCACCGCTGTCCTGCCTTGAGTCCGGTGGCTTCGATCGGCGCTGCTACCTGCTACCTCTGGAGCAGTGGATCTGGCAAAGCCTGGAGACATTTTTGTTTACAACCAGAGAGAGTGTTACTGGCATCTAGCGGGGTGGAGGCCAAGGACATTGCCAAACACCTAAAAACACACAGGATGCCCCACCCCTCAACAAAGGATCGTCCCGCCCAAAGCATCCCTGGTGGAAAGGCGGAGAAACCCTGCATTAGACAGGAGGGAGGTGTCCTGAGGGTCTCATGGGATGCCGAGGGAAGATTAATTTTTCAAGACTGATAACACAATCCAGACAAAGAATTTCTCAGTCTTCATGCACTGTCTCATGGGACTGCCTGCTCTTTGGGGGGTGATAACCAGTGAGCGTGTACAGACACCTTTCGAGTCATGTTGTCGTAGCTTGTGCAGTGCCGGTCCCTTCAGTTGCTGAGCGTCTCCTGGGTGTCAGCCCTGAGCTGGTGCTGAGGCCAGAGTGAATCCATAAATGTGGGCTCTGCCCTCAAGGTGCCCACTGTTTGGTGGCGGTGCTGGAGGTGGGGAGGGCAGGCAGGGAGTTAAGGAAACCAGCAGTGGCAACTCCGTGAATTGCTGGGGCTGCGGGGGGCAGCGGGGGAGACACAGAGCCTGGGGCTCAGACCCAGACAGTTGGGAGGGGATGGGGAAGATGCACCTAAGGAGAAATGCTAAAGCGAGTGAGCACTTGCTCTGCCAAGAAGCTAGGGTGTGTGAGAGAAAGGGGCTCAGGTACCTCGTGTGCGCTGGGGCAGCTGGAACTCAGGGTGCAAGTGGCAGGGAGGTGGTGCTGGGGGGGTCTGCAGGCCCTGCTCCATCGCAGAGGCTCTCCTAAGTCCTGCGGAGGCATTCGCATTTTGCCCTGAAGGCAAAAGAAGGCCTTTAAACGCGGTGATGTGATCTGATTTACGAAAGAGAAAGAGGAAGCTGCGGTGTGGAGGAATGTGCTTGGAAAGGTCCAGGGGAAGATAGTTGCAGCCCCCCAGGCAGGGGGCGATGTGGCCAGAAGAAGGCAGCGACTGCGTGGTTAAGGCGCGAGGAGGAATAAGCCAGAAAATAAAGGGCTAAAAGCTACGGGTCTTGGTGGCTGATACGATCGGCGGGGCTGGAATGAGAGAGGGAGCGGAGTCTGGGTGGTTAATGATGGCTACCAGAAAGGTGCTGATGCAACGTTCAACTGCGAGGGCGGCGGGTATTGCTCCCCACGCTTTGCGAGGGGCTGAGACTGAGGGGCAGCAGCCGCATGCCGAGGCCTCAGGGCTGTCTCTTCAGTTTGCCAGGTGTGCCTACGTCATCATCCTCATGGCCGTTTACTGGTGCACAGAAGTCATCCCTCTGGCCGTCACCTCCCTCATGCCCGCCTTGCTCTTCCCGCTCTTGAGGATTTTGGACTCCAAGCAGGTGAGCAGACCCAGGGAGCCCTGGTGGCCTTCTGCTTCTCCCACGGGCTCCTTCTCGAAGCCCCTCTCTGAGCTACCTGGGCCCCGGGGAACCAGAGAAGCCCACTGTGGGATTTTCTTTTGGCATGGAGACATACCCTTTGACCCTTTACCCCACTCCACACCGTCCCTGGAGTCAACATCCAGTCTGCTCGCCTGTCTCTGGGGGCTTGGGTGGCCCTGGGCCCAAGCAGTATGTGGCCGGGAAGCCACCCTGATGGGGCCTCCCTGCCACCACCTTCCAGGTGTGTGTCCAGTACATGAAGGACACTAATATGCTGTTCCTGGGTGGCCTCATTGTGGCTGTGGCCGTGGAACGCTGGAACCTGCACAAGCGGATCGCCCTGCGCACACTCCTCTGGGTCGGGGCCAAGCCTGCACAGTAATTACACCTTCTCTCCTTTGCCACGGGGCTCCCTGTGGGCGCAGGGTGGGGGAGGAGCTGCAGCACCGACCACATCACCCACACGAAGGGCTGCCCATGGGCTTGGCAGGCAGGTGGACTCCCGGGCGGGGCATGTGACAAGTGTGACCGTCTTAGCTGGGGACACCAGATGCATGGGCAATAGTTGGGGGCCGGTGGTGAGCAGCAGTGGGTAAGGGTTCTCCGGAGCCAGAGGAGACTGGCCAGCAAGGGTCCCTGCACGTTCAGAGGACTTTCTGGAGGAGAGCCTGCAGGTTCCACAGGGAACAAGGGAGCGGAGACTGGATCAAGCCATGCCTGATAGGGCATTTGTGGGGAAAGCAGGCCAGCCAGGGGTGGCTCGGCCGCCCCTCTCAGGAAGCAGGAAGGTCATCCTTCCATAGCTGGCACATCTCTTTGCTCTGTGAAGAAGCTTCTTACCTCATCTTCCCCCACATTACTTAGAACGTCAGCTTCTCCCCCTCTCCAAGATCTCCCCCTACCAGTCACAGGCAGTTTCTGACCATCCCATGGAGCTGATGTAATCAGAATCAGCTGGGTATATGGAGCATCTGCAATGCCTTCGGCATGGCACTAGGAGCTTATTTGTCACCTCATTTAACTCTCGCCGCAACTCAGAGAGTTGGGTATCATTCCCACCACCCACGTCCTATAGATGAGGACTTTGAGAAGGAGAGGGGATAAATGATTGGCTGTGTGATGAAGCCTTGCCTGCCCCCCCTCCAGCCAGTAGGGAACTCAGGATGCACCGTTCTTTTGAGGCACTGTGCTCCCTGAATGATGGCGTGGCCCAGCCCAGCCCTGGGAAGGCAGCGGTTCGTTAGTTCACAGCCAGTCCCTCCTGAGGCGTCCACGTGTCAGGGACTGTGCTGGGCCCTAAGCACACGGAGCCCGGTCCGCCCTCCAGGAGATGATGCCCAGCTCCCTGGGCACCTCAGGCTCCCCTGAGCAGAAAGCTTTGTGATTCTCTGATCTCTGTTACCCTTCCTGGTCTCAGTCCCCTCCAGTGATTGGTTTACAGGATCAAATCAAAAGCCCTTGCATTTTCTAGCAATGCGAGGCCTAGCATTCTTGCTCTCAGGATCCTGTAAGCGGCCAGCTTTTCTCCATCAGCTGGTAGACCTCGTTCTGAGAGTGCCAAAGACCTCTTGTTCCCAAATCTAGGAATTTCTCACATCCTTCCTGTCACCTGGCTTCTCCTCTGAGCTGTCCACGGCACTGCCTGCCCTGGGGGTGACCTTTATGTTGAGGCGCACTTGGTGCCTTGAAGCGTCATGGCGTGGTCTCAGTCAGGAAAACTCGGATCCTCCTTCCAGCCTGGGTCCCAGCCTTGGTTCTCATGGGTCCGCAAAGTCCACCTGCACAGACACCAGCTTGGACCTTGGTGCAGTGCAGCGCCTAGATCCCTGCTTCAGGCGAATGAGTGGCCCTAGGGAGAAGCCTGGCCACCGAGGGGCGTGGCGACCGGGAGCAGCTTTGTCCTACTGAGCTGGCGCTCCCTGAGCATTGTCCATTCCTGGCCCTTGCCAGGGTGCGTGGAAGCCTTGGGGAAGAATCAGACCCTCCCCCGTTCACCCTCCAAGGACAGAGCAGGCAGGGAAACGGGCCCTGCGATTCCAGCCAGTGAGGAGTGTTGGGGGTGGGGAGCAGCTGGAGGAGGGTGTGTTCCCCTGGCCCGGTGTGCACTGGGAGCGAGGCTGCAGGGGAGGGATGTTATTTGACAGGTTTTGAAGGATCATAAGGAATGTTCGAGGCAGGCAGAGGTGGGACAGAAGAGGAAGATGGGTGTTATAAGTGAAGGGAACATGTTTTCTGAATACTATTCAAACTGGTCTATTGCCGGGTGGAGGGGATACAAAGTGTCTGTAGAGAGAAGCAGTGGGGGTGGGGTCAGCCACGAGCGAGGCTCTGCTGTCCCCGGCTCACCCCACCCCTGACGGCTGTGCACAGGAGCAGGGTCTGGGGTGGGTGGGAATCTTCTAGATAGAAGTGGGATGTTGGGGCTTCTTGCACGTAGGTCTGTTCCAGCACACCCTTAGGACATACTAGGGCCAACTCTTCCCACTGGGTTGGCACCACCTGGATGCCTGCGCTGCCTCAGCTGGACAGGAGCTCCTTAGACACGACTGGGCCTGAGAAGGGCCTCCTGGTGCCCTTGCAGCCAGCAGAGAGGGAATCAGTACTGTTTGTGGGAGAGAGGGAGGAGGGAGGAAAGAAGGAAGGAATGGAGGGGGAGAGAGAGGGAGGCACTAAAACTACAGTCCTCTCCTGGGCTCCCCTCCCCCAATCTTGAACTGGCCTCAGCACCTTGGCCTGGACCCCTGGCGTCTCGGCAGGAGGGCCGAACCCCTGTTGCTCCCTAAAGGCTGGGGGCCATGGTGGCGGGGCGATTCTCTGTCTTCCCTCCCTGCCGTTCCTTTGCAGGCTGATGCTGGGCTTCATGGGCATCACGGCCTTTCTCTCCATGTGGATCAGCAACACGGCCACCACAGCCATGATGGTGCCCATCGTGGAGGCCGTGCTGCAGCAGATGGAAGCCACAAGCAGCTCCACCGAGACCAGCCTGGGCGCCCTGGAGCTGGTGGACAAGGGCAAGACCGGCAAGCTCCCAGGTGAGTCCCTGGCCGGGGGCCCTTTTAAACAGGCCTCCGGGGAAATGCTCAGAAAACGCTGTTTTCCTGTTTTAGGGATGTAATTAGCGCATGAAAGTTAAGTCCTTTAGTGTTGCTCATAGGAAGTTCCGACCCCCAGTTCCCGCCAATCACGGAAATCAGTAGGTGTTCATGTGATTCCTCATTTGGGCATCTTTTGAGCACCTACGGGTTACTCCTTACCCTCTGCTCTTCTCACGTATCCTCCGGGAGGCTTCCCCTAAGCCGGTCAGACCTCCCATCCGCTCTCCGCTCCCACAGGTATCGGGGAGGTTGTCCCATGTTGCTGCCCTGCGGCACACTGAGCTCAGGGGAGTCCGATGGTGCCTGTTTCATCCTCCACCTTGTCCGTCCCCCGTCCCCAGGGCTCAGCTCAGGGGAACTCGGGGCCCATTCTCATGGCCCCATTGCCAGGTCCTGGAGCTGCTGAGAAGCAGACACGCCCATACTGCAGACTGAAGGAGCCCAGTGGGGTGGGGTAATGAGGCCACTTGCCCAGTTCCTTAGACCTGGGGGAAGCCACTGGGTGCCATAAGCCAGACCCCAAAGGAGCCCAGACAAGGAAGAGGCGTTACTAGGAGGAAAGGACAGCTACGATGGATTTGGACACCCCCTAGATGGAGGGACCAGCTGGAGCAACAGCAAGGAGGCAGGAAAGAGGGGCTTGTATCTGAAGTTGCTGAATGTGCACTGGGAGTCGAGGAGCCTGAGGGAAGCAGTGGGCAGTGACTGCGGGAGGCAGAGAGGGCCGGACTCCACGCTGGGCCGGAGGCTGAGGAAAACCTGAGGAGGGAGCCAGCAGGGCCAGCCTGTCCCCACCCTCAGGTCAGCGGCTGAGTCAGGAGCAGGGCCTGAGCAGGCGGCCCCCGGGCCCGGCCCTGCTTATGGAAACGTGTTGCTGCAGGGAGACAAGTGCTGTCTGAAGGCTCCAGTCTGGGGCAGCCAGAGAAGTGTAGCAGGAAGAACGTGTGCAAGGCCATGAACCTGTGCGTGTGCTACGCGGCCAGCATCGGAGGCACTGCCACCCTGACCGGGACCGGACCCAACGTGGTGCTCCTGGGCCAGATGCACGAGTGAGTCCCTGGCCATGCCTTCGGGGGACAATAACAGGGTTGGGGCGACTCCCCTCGCTCCTCCCCAGCGGGGCCCTGGAGCGGGGCCCTGGCAGGGGTGGGAGGATGTGCCCCCCGCCATCTGCTGCACCTGCTCGGGACCCCTCGGGGTAGGAGCTGATGCCAGTCCCCAGGCCTGGTTGCCTTCTGTCCTGGGGTGAGTCCTGCTTTTCTTTCTGGGGCTCAGTATTTCCACTCACCCAGGTCATGTGATTGAACTCTGAACTAAAGTCATGGGGAGTGACAGCATAGTCCTAGATGCTGGGTCCTGGTTTAAAACTTGCAGAACATAGACACCCCCATCGATGCTGTCCTTGAAACTGGCCCGCCGACCTGGGTTGCGAATGGTGATGGTCCTATGATACTGGAGATCTGGTGATGGCATAAAGGGTCAGAGGTTAGGTCACTCCCCGCCCCACCAGCTCATTCACTATAGTTCCTCTAATTGCTCTTGAGGCAGCCGGTGTCCCTGTGAGGCCCCAGGTGGACTGCCATGGTGGCCTGGAACTTTCCTTTGCCACAGATGGATGTGGGCCTTGAGGCCCCAGTTCTGTGCAAGGGGTGGGGCTGGACTCACAGAAATGAGAAACCTGGGCCCTGTCTGTGGGATGCTCATGGCCTGCGGAGGGTAGCGGATGCCAGGAGAGTTCTAGGTGGGTCGTGTAAATGCACTCAAGAAGCAAAGTACCAACTGCACTGAGCACAGGGGGAAGGAGCAATGGCGCCGTCCTCTGCAGACAAGAGCCCTAGATGGGAGCTAGGAGGTGGGAAGGACGGGCCTGGAGCCTGGCCGAGCAGATGCTTGAGAGCCAACAAGCAGACTATTCTGGTCCTATGAGTGTTTTCTGTAATGATAGCTTTCAGGTCTCCTTGGAGATCCTGGCTGAGTACAGAAAGCTCTGTCTACTTTCACACCCTTGGGCTAAAGCGAGCCATGCCTGGGGGTGGGAGGCGGAGCCTGGAGTAAAAGTGACCCTTCTCCAGCCCCCGGACCTGTCATCTGGTCCTACCCTGGGAAGCGTTTGAGACCTGTTTTCCTAAGGGGGGCGGGGGCTCACCTTGCAGAAGCCCTCAGGGTGAGGGTTCGGAGGCGTTTGTGGGAGGCCTAATGCTGTTGGCCAAGTTGTGTGTGTACAAAGGTGTATTTTTCTAGAGGGAAGAGACCTATCTATCATGAGATTCTCAGCAGCGTGGGGACTCCCAGGAGGGTCAGCTGGTTACTCTTCAGGCTCGTACTGTGCCAGGCTGTGTTCTGAGGCCCCCACCTGACTGGGGTAACGCCGGGCGGCGGGCTTGGATGGCTGGGCCTCAGTAGGATGAGGCCTCCGCTCCAGGCCACCTCTCAGCGTCCAGCTGCTGCCCGCTCTGCACCCACAGGGCCTGACCTGCTTGCTCTCTGCGGCTCAGCATCTGGTAGAGATGTGGTGTTTCTCCCTTCAGATTGTTTCCTGGCAGCAAAGACACCGTGAACTTCGCCTCTTGGTTTGGATTTGCCTTCCCCAACATGCTGATAATGCTGATGTTCACCTGGTTGTGGCTTCATTATGTTTATGTGGGATTCAAGTAAGTGTGAGCTGCTTCTGGAATAGAGTCTAGTCCGCCATGCCCCTGCAGAGGCGCCGGTGGGCGAGTCCGCAGCGTTCTTCCCGTCTGGCCCTTTTCTCTGGCCCCTCGCCTGCTAGTCTGCCCTCCCATTTTGGCCACTCCAGGCCGCTCACCGTGCCTTTGCACATGCTGTTCCCTCTTCCTGGAATGCCACTCCCTGTCTCCCTACCTTTCAACCTCCTCAGCCTTCTAGGCCAGTTAAAATGCTTCCTCCTTAGGGACACCTTTTCTAAATCCCCCCATCCCCACTCCATCAGAGAAGAACCCCTTGCTTCCTCCTCTGGGCTTCCCTGGGCGCTGCGTAGCCCTGTCTCTCAGTACCTGTAGTCGTGTTCCAGCGCTGCCCTTGACCCCTGACCTGAGCTCCTCTGAGGCCCGCGGTAAGTGCTCTCTGTCCCTGGCACCCATTCCGGCTCCCGGCCCAGGGAGAAAGACCAGCGGGCCGTCAACATGAGTCAAAGCAAGAGAAGGGTATCTTGTCCCTGTGAGCAAATCGATACTGCTGGCGGACTCCCACTTGGCTGCGTGTCTCCATTAGGTGAGGTCACAGCGCACCACCTGACAATGTCCAAGTGACTACTGAATGCCTGCCACGGTCCCAGCGGCGTGCAGAGAGTTCTGCCAAGTTTACCCTCCTCTTCCCAGTACACGGCAAGTTCACCAAGAGCCAGCCTTGAGAGCAGTCGGACTTTGGACACAAACCATGTGTGTGGCTGACAAATACTTTGAAAAAGCTGTTGTGATTTTAACCAGACACAAATTTATCTGTGGAGCGAAGGTGACCCTCTCACACTGGTATGGAAGGTACTTAGCTGTGAGCCAGGTGCTCTGTGCCTTTAAAGCACAGGCAGCTAGAGGCAGAAACGGGGGCCTGTGTAGTCTGAGGGAGGAGCTCTCAGAACCAAGAGGCAAAAGTGCCCACAAAGACCTGTGAGTTATCCAGGGAAAGGAGGCAGTTTTGTAAGTTTTCTCCTAAAGGAGGCACTGTTTTGAAACTTGCTATTAAAAAAATAACTACACGAAGTCACAGCAACAGCATAATAGTATGGCAGGCGCCCCTCCTCCGCCACCCCACGTGCAGGTCTCGCGTGAGGAGGAAGCTGCTCCCACGGGCGCTTGAGGCACAGCCTGGTTTTGAGTGAAACCCTTTGCCCTGCTTTTCACACCTGCTTCAGGACCAAAGTCCTCATGCCCATCCAGCGGGCCTCCAGGGACCTACCCCAAAACTGTTGCAGGCTGCAGGTGGCAATAGTAATAACGACCGACACCTGTCAAGAGCTTTTTATGTGCCAGACACAGTTTTGATCACTCTGCATGGATTAACTGGTCTTCACCTGACAACCTGGGAGGTACGTCCTCTTATTATTCTCAATTTACAGATAAGGCAACCGAGGCACGGAGAGGACAAATGGCCTATGCAGGGCTGCATAACCGGGAAATTGTGGGACTGAGATTTGAACCCAGGGGCTTTGGCTCTGGAGCCTGTGCCCACTGCCCTACATCCGTGTCTCAGTCAGCTCAGCTGCCATCACCAAATGCCACAGGCTGGGCGGCTCCAACAACCGATGTTCATTTCTCCCAGTTCTGGAGGCTGCAAGTTTAAGGTTAAGGTGCCAGCCACTTGGTTCCTGGTGAGAACCCTCATCCTGGCTTGCAGAAGGCCACCACCTCAGTGTGTCCTCACTGGGGGTGTCCTCACATGGAGAGAGAGAGCAAGCGCTGGTTCTTTCCTCTTCTGATAAAGGCACTGCATGACCTCATCTAAACCTAATACCGTCACATTGCGGGGCAGGGTTTCGACATATGAATTGAGGGGAACACAATTCAGACCCTAAGAATCCCCTCTTGGGGAGGCGGAGGGTTGCTGCCTAGGTACAGCCAGGTGTCGGGGGTACCAGTTTCGGCCTCCCCTCAGCCTGCGGTGGGGGCGGGGCCCGGAGCCCTGAGGCCTACCAAGTTCCCCCAGCAGAGCAAACAGAGGGAGCTGGCCTGGCCCCATGACCACAAGGCCACTGCCAGCCTCTAGAGGTGGACACCAGGCTCCTGGGAGCTCACAGCCTGGCGTGGCCTCCGTCAGCGCTTCTGGACCGGCAGGGAGCCTGGAGACGCCTGCAGTCTGCCTGCGGCCGAGCGCGGGGCTGCCCGCATCCACTCGCCCCAGCGTGCGGCTCCAGCCCAGAGGCCTCAGCTCCCAGGCTTGGAGTGTGGTGGGTCAGGGAGGGGGGGCCGCTCACAGGAAACCCTGTTTGGACAGCTTTTAATACTCAGCTTGAGCGACAGGACAGCGGGACACATCTTCCAGGCCAGGCCATGTCCTGCCGTGCACCAGGGCCTGTCTCCATGCCTCTGGGACCACCTCGCCAGAGGCAGAGCAGCACCTGTCTCAGCTGCGGGAAGCATCTCTATAGCGCCTTCCTGTGAATCTCCCATCTGGATGGTCATGGAGAGCAAGGTCAGGGCCACTGCCTTTGGCCTAATCCAGAAGAACTATGTTTTTGGATTTATGGGTGACCTCCTTGGCCACCGACAGCCAAGTGGACCACAGATCCCGCCCCCCCGCCCAGGGCAACCCAGGACTACTGTGGTTCCACTGCTGGCCTGCGCCCCGCTTTCCTATCCAGGCTGACCCCTGGACGAGGAGTGAGGGCTTGTCCGGACCCCTGCCGTGCAGAGGCACTCAGGGACTCAGGTGTCCCTCCGCCTCTCCCCTTGGCTCCATGCCAGCTCCTCCTCATTGTTCCGAAGGCCATTCTACTGTAGAAGGACACCATGTACCCACCCAGCCCCGGGCTCCACAGGCAGACCAGACCCACTTGCCTGTGCCTCATGCCAGTCCAGCGGTCACCGGACAGGACACGATTAACCAGAGATGAGGGTGAAACTGCTTAGCCTAAGAGGCTCCTGAAGAGTTGGCAGCACAAAGGTGGGGGACCAGCATTGGACACCTGCAGCCCCCAGAGGCTACAGTCACGTGATGTCGGGGCAAGTCACCAGCGGCTGGGAGTACCCGAGTTGCCCTTTCTCCTGGAAACCTGAAGCCTCTGGCCTAGCCCTTGAGTCTCGAGAATGACAGTTCTTGGTCAAAACAGACTCCCACACCAGAGGGCCGAGAGGCTACCTCCCACACCAGAAGAGTCATCGCCGTGCTGGATGGCCTAAAGGGCGCCCCTGGCAGGTGACGCTTGGGACACCCAGCCTTGCCCCCTTGTCCAGTGCAGAGATCGCGGCAGGCTGTGCAGATAGGAGACCCCATCACTGCCTCTGGCTTTCCCAGCCCCTGAGCTCCTGACCGCCCTGCGTTCCGTGCTCCAGGCTGTGGCCCCTCACCAGCATGGCCCTTGCAGGCGGTTCACATCCGGCCTTGGCTGCAGAAATTGGTGTCTCGACCCTGGTCCCATCACCTTCTGCCCTCCTCCGAAGCCTGTCTTAGGGCCACGGGGAAGACTCTCCAGGGACATTCCTCTTGGCCGAGCCTGCCTCCTTCAGGCTGACAGGCCGGAACATGTGCATGGACCCCTCAGAGGATTCCTCAAGGCCTGGATCCTGGGCCCCAGGGGCCCCGTTAACCCCACCCCATGGCTGAGGCACCCTCCACGCCTCTTCTAAGAATTCCTCCTCCTTCCTGCCTCCTTATGCCAGCACCCTGCTAGTGGAGGTCCTGCAGGGCACCCTGGGCAGGCCATGTTGGCCAGTGGGCACTGGTCCCTAAGGAACCCCCCCAAGACCAGGGCCTGGGCTGGCTTCTTTCCTGCCATAGTCATGTCTGCTGCTGGCCCCAGGCTCCTGGATCCTGCATCCTACACGTCCAGCTCCTTGGAAGACAAGCACCCACCCTCCTCCTGCCTGACCCAGTCTGCTTGTTCTTTGTGTCTCTTGAGCCACCCTGACGACGATGGGGGCTGACGTCCTGGAACCACTGAAGGTGGCACCAGGCCACCGTGGGAGGAGAAAGACTGGGGGAGCACGTGAGGGAGTCCTGGATCCACCTCAAGCCGGCCCCAGAACCTCTCATGGCCCTTCCCCAGATGGCAGATGACAGGAGCAGCTGGCCTCCAGGCGGCTGGGCACTTGCCAGGTCCCCCAGCCAGTGGCAGCCTCAGTTCTGCTTATTTCCGCCTCCCGTGCTCCTGCCCACCCGTACCCCCTATCCTGCTCTGCCTCCGACCCTCTTGACCATCCCCTCTGTTGTTGCCTCTGTTGCCCCAAGACCTGGTCCAGATGGGCCGCCCACCTGGGCCACCTCAGGCCTCCTCTGGGAGCATCCTTCAGCTCCGGGCTGCTCTGGGGCATGTGCTCAGCGCCCATAACAGACTTCCCCCACCAGGGCCTTGAGGTGCGGTAGGCAGATGACAGTGACGCAGCGGGGAAGGGGCTTGTTCAAGCACGGCCCCTGCCCCGGGCGATGGGCAGCACCATAGGCCTTCCTGCCAGGGTTTGCTGCCCGACACTCAGCTTCCTTCTGACCAGACCCAGAGCCAACCAACCTGCCCTGCGCCCTCTTGTCTTTGCATCCTCTAGTTTAAAAAAGGCCTGGGGCTGCGGGCTGGAGAGAAGTAAAAGCGACAAGGCTGCCTACAAGACCCTGCGTGAGGAGTACAGGAAGCTGGGGCCCTTCTCCTTCGCTGAGGTCAGCGTTCTGCTCTGCTTCATCCTGCTGGTCAGCCTGTGGTTCTTCCGGGAACCTGGCTTCATGCCTGGCTGGTCGTCAATCGCCTGGGTGGAGGAAAAGACAAAGTAAGTCGTTTGCTCTGCGGTACCCTCTTGGGCACTCCTTCTTTCTGTAGGTGAGTTCTGGAATTCTCTGTTGGTTTCCGGACTCATTGTTTTCCTCACCAATCTTCAGGACAAGCCCACAGATACATTCCTGTGGCCCCTACTTCCCCAACAGGCTGAGCAGAAAGTCCTTGGCCAGGCCCAGGCTGTGACTGAGAGAGATTTGTTGGGCTACAGTGGGGGCTCTGGAGCTCTGGTTTCCAATCTCTGTCTGTCATCTTTTTTTCCCTCATCTTTCTTCAGATCCAGGCAAGTCCCTTTGGAGACACAGACCCAGAATCTTCTTTAGGCACAGACTTGGCAGAAGGGGGTGTATGTACTTTCCTGCATAAGATGATATGGTGTCGGCTGGGAGAAAGGCTGAGAAACATGCATATCCGAGAAAAGGCAGGAGGTGTGGGTAGGGAGCTGGCCTCCTATTACTGCTTACTCCACTGAGGACCTCTGTTTGTGGTCCCCTGGTGAACCCGCAATTCTAGGGATTCTGACCGAGAAGGGGTCACGAGGTCCCCCCCGCCCCGGGGAGCAACACAGGATGAGAGGGCAGAGAGCTGCCTGAGGGTTGCCCAGTGCTGGTGGCAGAGCCAGGCCAGGGGTGAGGGAGTCTTGGTTTCCAGCCAGGATTCACTTCTGCTGACCTTGGCCTTCGGGGTTCTAGTTTCCACACCCGGCGGGGCCTGTTTCTTCCTGCAGGGACGTGTAGGGGCGGTCCAGGTTTCTTGTGACTTCCGTTGCGGCTGAATTGGCTCATCCTGTGCACTCTCGCCCCCCTAGGTATGTCTCCGACGCCACCGTGGCCATCTTGGTGGCCGTGTTGCTCTTCATTCTGCCTTCACAGAAGCCCAAGTTCAACTTCTGCAGCCAGACTGAGGAAGGTAAGGCTCCTGTCCTGGCCTCCCATTCATCAGGGTTGGGGCCCTGGGCTTAGGAGGGAGAAAAGCCTACTCTATCGAAGGGGACAGGCGAGATTATAAAATCTGGACAGAGGGCACTTTTCGAGCCTTCCCTGGGTATTCTTTAGTGCAACTTCTCTTTTGCTTTTTAAACATTTGAAATCTTATTACTACTGGGTCTGGCAAAAGGCAGGCCTGCTTGAGTGTAGTTGGTAGGGTGATAATACAGGTGTAATAATTTATAGTTTTAATTTGAACATTTCACCTAAAATGTCATATGGTGTGCTTGAGGGTGATTTTGTTATAAAAGAGTGTGTAATAAAAAAGGGGCGTTACTTGCGCCAGTCTCTGTATTTCAACAGGAACAGAAAAATGTTTCAAATTTCTCATCATGCCATCAGTATTTTTGGGTTTCTCTCTTCCTCCCAGTCTTTACTAATAAGCACATAGATGATATGACTATAATCAAAACATACAATTTGAGTCCTGTTGTTTTATTTCTGTTTTCATGTTTTTGCTTGGGATTACTCTATTAACATTTCCTGCTATTGCTACAGTCTTCAAATTTATCTTCTCTAATAATAGCATTGTATTGCATCAAGAGGCTGTAACCATCCTCTTGTTATGGAACGTTCTGGCTGTTTTGATTTTTCATTATTATAAATTAATGTGTTCATGTATATCGCTTTTTCTCCAACAGCATTTCTTCTTCAGGAGTAATTTCTAGGAACCATCGTTGCTGGGGTATATATATCTTAATGGCTCTTAAATGTGTTGCCACATTACTTTTCAAAAAGACGATACCAATTTATAATGCTACCAGGAGTGCAAAATAGTTTTGCCATATTCTCACCAGCAATGGGTGTAGTAATTATTGTAAATTTTAGCTAATATATAAATATGAGACGGTAGTCATTGTCCTTACAGGCGTTTATTCCCCTTGATTAGATATTTTTTTTGCTTCATAAGGCTGCTCTGGGTTCTTTATGGGTGTGTTTTATTGTTTCTTCTCAGAAAGGAAAACTCCATTCTGTCCCCCTGCGCTGCTGGACTGGAAGGTGACCCAGGAGAAAGTGCCCTGGGGCATCGTGCTGCTTCTGGGGGGCGGATTTGCTCTGGCGAAAGGATGCGAGGTAACTTGTCCCGCTGTGGGCGGCTGCCCAGGGTGCCCCCCGCCCCTCCCCCCTGCACCCCCAGGCTGTTTCTGTGTCGGTGCCCCCCACTAACTGCGCACTTCTTGAGGACAGGGTCTGTCCCTGTACATTGCAGGAAGCCTGCACCGTGAACGGTGCTGGAATAGAGCAAGTGCTCTTTGAGTGACTGCAGAAATGAGTGAATATGACTGACCTCAGGAGAGGCGGAGGATGCTGTGAGGTCTCCTCTGGGATTTGGTAATAAGGATCTGTACCCTGATTCATTCTAGGGAAATCTGCAAGTCCTCATGGAGATTTCCCCCATGACCTTGGGTTCTTCTCCTTGTTGATGTGGTTACTATTTAAAAATTTTTCTCTAGCTGAGTATGTAGCAGTATAAAAGGAGAGGAACAGCTTTTGGGAGAAAAAAAATACCCCTAAAGAGTAACTTTCTTACTTCTCCCCCTTCCCTGATAGGGAAGAAATGAGCCAGAGGGAGGGGTGAGCCAGCTTGGGGCTGCTCTCCTCCGTGCATCCATCCATCTGTCCGTCCATCCAGGAAGAGAATGTAATAGGTAGACTGGGTCTGTTTTGTGATTTTCTTTTCCTGTTTGTGCAGCATCTAGAACAGAGCCTGTTGCATGGCGGGTGCACAAATAGTTTTCAGATGAACAAATCCATCCACCTTGTCACTTCTCTATCCAGTCATCCACCCCCCTATGGTTCATTCATTCACCAGACATCTCTTATATCCTTGTTAGCCCAGACATGGGAACTACAGAGGAGACTGAAATATGGTCCTTATTCTTGAGGACTTCACAGACTAGAGAGCGGGACATATCTGGAAGAGCATTGTGGGAAGAAGTGGCACGTCGGTAAAGGAATAAGTGTGTGGTACCGAGCTGAGGAACAGGAGGTGAGGCTGGCGAGCCTAGCAGGGGCCACTCCACGACGGTCTTGAATTCAAGACAGGGAGTGTGGACTTTATTCTGCAGGCAGTGGACAGCCATTGAACGGTTGAGGCCAGAGAGTGACTCGGTCAGACGTGCACTTGGAGAAAATGACTCTGGTGTCTCGGTGGAAGCCTGGGCAGCGCTGGGGGTGAGGGGGACCCGGTAGACGCTCTGTAGCTTTCATCGACCTCAGCCTCAGAGCGCTGGGCCCCCAACGACCGTTGTCTCCTCCTTGAGACTCCCCCCTCCTCTGGCCCCCAAGGAGCCGTTCTCTCCTGGTTCCCTTCTAACTCTGACTATTCTTGCTCAGCCTCTCTGCTGACTTTTCTTCTATTCTCCCTCAGATATGAGTGTTCCTCCAGGCTCTGTTCTTGGCCTCTTCTCTGTTCACTTTCCTTTTCTCCCCGGAACGATCTCTTCTCAGCCCAAAGCACCAAATCCAGATCCCCCGTTTCTGGCTCAAACTTCTCTCCTCAGTTTCAAGAACTGCGGGAGACTGAGAGGAGACAATGGACATGAGATATTTCGGGTGACTTGGTGACTGATTGGGTGGGAGGAGTGAGGGGGACAGAGGTTCCCCAGGATGACTTCGGTCATCTAGGTTGGCCAGCTGGTAGACGGTGAATCCGTTCCCCGAGCTGGGGAGCCCAGGGGGAGCCGTAGGCTCTGGGCTGGAGAGGACGAATGCCAGTTGGGACATGTTGAGTCTGACATGCTCATGGGACATCCGGGTGGAAGTTTCTAGGAGTATAGATGTTTAAATGTGGATAGTAGACCAGCTGGGCTAGAAGCCCAGATTTTGGAGACAGCAGGATGAGGATGGAGGTTGGAATTATGGGCATGGATGAGATCACCCATGACATATAAGCAGAGAGAGTAAGAAGTAGGGGATGGGCTGAACTCCCTGGAGAAAGATGAGGGTCCCTCCTGGCCCCAGAGGGGCTGTAAGCCTGGAGCCCTTCGGTGACTGCCCTCCTGGTACTTTCCAGGCCTCGGGGCTGTCCAGCTGGATGGGGAAGCAGATGGAGCCCTTAAATGCCGTGCCCCCGGCAGCCATCAGCCTGATCTTGTCCTCGATCGTTGCCACATTCACTGAGTGCACAAGCAACGTGGCCACCACCACCCTCTTCCTGCCCATCCTTGCCTCCATGGTGAGTAACTCTCTGGGTTTTGGGGAGGGGGGGACGCTTAACCATTATTTCATAAGAAGCGCTCAACCCAGGACTGTGTCCGAAGTCCCTAGAGAGGCAGTGAAATCAGGGCCCAGAGCCTGCCCAGGCTTTGGAGACCTGGATCTGGCGCTGGCTCTGACAGGACTCGGGCACCTTGGATGAGCCTGGGCCTGCCCTTGATGCTGTGCTGGTTCTTTTTTTGCATCCCCCCTGGCTGGTCGAAGTGCTAAGCATAAACCAGGTGCTCAAAATTTATTTGTAAATGTAACTGACTGTTTCTCAAGATGGGGACACAGGACCTGCGCCAAGGAGGAGGGGACCAGTGCCAAGGAGGAGGGGACCAGTGCTGGGAGGGAATGACAGAGGGTCTCTGAGAAGGTAGCACAGGTGTGAGGATGTGAAGCAGGGGGACTCCGCTGGCTGGGACCCACCAGGAAGAGGTCTTGGGGAAGGTGGGGCTTGGGAATGGCTGGGGGGAGAGGACGTCCTTGCAGGATGGAGAGCCCAGGTAAAGGAAAGGGGGAACATGGCTGAAGACTCCCAGAAGCCTTGTGCGGTGTGCCCAGGGGCCAGGGATCAGTGTGCTGTGAGGGAGCATGTTGTTGAGCTGGGACTTAAAGTAGAGCTTACAGGAAAATCGGCTATGATCTTGTTGTGCATTTTCTCCTGTCAATCAACACATGGCAGCGCTGATCTCCAAGTGGTACAGGAAGAGCCTGGGGCTTGGAGTCAGAAGACCTGAGTTCAAGTCATGGGATCCTTGAACATGTCACTTGAGTTCTTCCCTCTTACACTTGTGCCCAGGGTCAAGTAGGACGAGGGCTATGAAACCCTCTGTAGACCGCCAAGCGAGCCTGGGAGAGGCTGTGGTGGCCATTCTGGAATCAGAAGACAGATTTACAAAAACCCAAATACAGGATTGCAGTTGGTAAATTTCCATTTGGCTGCCAAGGTGTCCATGTGTATAAAAAGCAAACCCAAGTGGTTTTCTCCTTTCAATCCTAGTGAAGATGACAGTGTTAGGAATAGCAGGGTGGCCCGCCCCAGCTCCCCCTCCCCAGCTCTCCTTCCCCTAAGCAGGCTGCCCGGACATAAGCCAAGGAGCGTCTTTTCATGCTGGGCATGGGGTGGTAAGGCCTTCCCTCCTCCTGCAGAGGTTTGGCTTTGTCACCTCCAGCCCCAGCAGGGAGCCAGCCCCGAAGGCCCCAAGCCAGAAAAACCAAGGCCCTAACCCGAGGGGGTGGCCATGCCTTTCCAAGCCAGCTTTTCTAGAACCAGAAGCCCCAGTAATATTCCTCTCAGTGACCTCCAAGCCCACTCACACTCCTGCCCCAGGACCCCAGCTGTGCCACAGAGCCACATCCACCATGTGTAGTCAAGGCCGGGACAAACGGAGAAATCAGGCAGTAGATGGGTCCCTGATTGGGTCCCCTCTGGTCCTCCCAGGGGCAGTGTGACTTGGAGCAGCCTTTTCAGAGACCCGCTCACTCACAGGAACCCTAACCTGAAACCCGCTCATATGCTCTGACTCAGCTGTTTGTGGCTGGGAATGGGACTTAGGGAGTCCTCAGAGGTGCTGACAAGCATATACAGTTGCCTTGAACACTGCGGGGGTCCGGGGCACAGACTCCCTGCACAGTTGAAAATCCACATGTAACGTGTGGCTCCCGCAGACCTTAAGTGCAGTCCCTCAGCAGCCACGGGGGCTGGTTCCAGGACCGCCCTCAGGTACCAAAGTTGGCGGTTGCTCAAGTCCCTTATATAGAATGGTGTAGAGCCGTGTATACAGCTGACACTCCACATCGTGGGTTCCTGTCTGATCTGTAATTGGTTGACTCTGCAGAAGGGAAACCTGGGGATATGGAGGGCTGACTATACATTTATTTTAAAAAATCCACGTGTAAGCAGACCTGCATAGTTCAAACCCATGTTCAAAGGTTACCTATTATAAAGATGCACTTCACAGAATTATTAATTACAAAATATTTCCATAATAGTAGGGGATTGATGAAATAAGATATATTCATGCAATGTAATATCATCAGGTCAATTTTTAAAAATCAAGAGTCTTGAAGGACATTTAATAAAATGGGAGCATGCATAATTTTTTTAAGTTGAAAATGTAACACATATACCTGGTTTACAAATGTCAAATAATACCATGGAGTATAGACCCTAACCCTCTAGCTTCCTCCTAGAGGTAACTTCTGTTATTAATTTCTTAGGTATCTTTCTGGATGTATTACACACACACACACACACACTTTTTAAACAAATGGTATCATTCTGTGCTCTTGTTCTGCACTTCAGATTTTTAAAAATTTAACTATAGATCTTGGAGATCTTTCCATGTTAGCACTTAAAACCTACTCAGTTCTTCTTTACAGCTGCAAACTAGTCATTGTCTGTATATGCATCTTTTATTTACCCATCCTACTATTGATGGTCATTGAGTCCCTTTCCTGTATGTTTTGCTGTAATAATGTTGCCATGAACATCTTTGCATATGTGTCTGCTCTAATGTGCATGTAAATCAGCATGCTGGATTATTAATTTTTTTAGATCGTTAATTTTGATAGACACTGACAGATATTATGAATTATATTACGGTGTCATTCATTCATTCAACAAATATTTAATGGGTGTCTACTCTGTGCGAGGTACTGTTATATGTGGCTGAATTTTAAGCTGTAGAGTAAAAAAGATGGATATCAAATTCCATATTCAAACTGATCCAAAATGTGTGCCAAACGCATGTGTATATAGATGTGCCTATAGGTGAGAAGATGTGGTCCCTGCCCGCTGGGCCGCCTCGGTGCGCGGCAGGACAGGCAGGTGCGTGCACACATGGGCTGCAGGAGCCCTTCAAGGTTCCGTGCAGTCTAAGTGGCCAGGATGGCCTTTGGCACATGGTAGGTGCCCAGGAATATATGCTGAATGAATTGAGGGGGTTCAGAAAGGGCCCCCCAGGGAGATGGCTCTGAGCTCAGCCTTTGGGATCCGGCAGAGTTATTGCCCAGAGACCTGGCAAAGGGGGAAGGACCCAGAAGGACAAAGGCACAGAGGTGGGAATGCGCACGCCAGCAGGGGGATGCTTTCAGATTGGTGGTCCCCAGGAGCTCTCGTTTTCTGTGTCTGTGACACTGCAGTGCTGTGTTTCCCCCCAGTCACGTTCCATTGGCCTCAACCCGCTGTACGTCATGCTGCCCTGTACCCTGAGTGCGTCCTTTGCCTTCATGTTGCCCGTGGCCACCCCGCCTAACGCCATCGTGTTTGCCTACGGACACCTCAAGGTTTCTGACATGGTAACGCAGCTGCTTTTATTTACTCCTATTGGCCCTGATGCTTTTGTCACCAGGGATGCCCTCTTTACTAATGATGTGTGACGTCCTGTGATTTCAGAATAGCACCCAAAGTCTCGATCGATCCTCGTTATTTGCATTCCTATGCAGCTTTTCTTCTTTTTTGAAATGACCTCACATTTCATACTGTTCTGTCTCCCAAAGCGGAGAGGCGGGTTATAGAGTCTCCCACTTGGAGGTGCCCAAGCAGCCACCAGGGGAGCCCCCGCCGCCGAACCCTGGGAGCGGCAGAGGATGGGGTCCCACGTGGCTGAGATGCACTTCGCAAACTAGCTAGAAGCTGTGAGGACAGTCAAGAGGGACAAGACTGAGGTGGGGGGCGGGGGCGGGTGGGTACTCAGACAGCCAAAGAGATTCACAGAGGTGTCTGCAGACATGAAGCAGGGACAGGGGACGAGACACCGCTGCCTGGGAGCAGAGGATACCTTGGGGACAGATGCAGCGGAGAAGAGACTCTCTTCAGTGCTGCTTTGGCTTTATTGACACTGACAGGAGGAGGAGGGCGGTTCTGAGAGGGGACAGGCCAGGAATGAAGGTCCCTATCTCAGCGCAGCCAGGTGGGAGTTGTCACAGAGCCTCCGCTGGGTATCTTCAGGGATCCCATGGGGCATTCTTGAAAAGAGGGGCTAGTCCGGAAACCGTGGACCACAAACTCAACTCCAGTCCCCAGTAAAAAGCCTACAACTGGGCTTGAAAGCAGTGGTTAGTGAGCTTGAAGAAAGAACTGGCATCAGAAAGAGCCACAGGAGGCTCTCGGGAAGCCAGCAGGTGCTGGTGTGACGGCGAAGGTGCTGGGGGGAGCACGGGACCTAGAGTCAGACCTGGGCTCCCCTGGTAATTGCCTGAGTGGCCTGGGGTGTTGCCTCCTGTCACCTCCCTGAGGCCCAGTTTTCCAAATATTCAAGTAGGCAGAGAACCCGCCACCATGTCTGTTTCCGGGGGATTCTTTGAGCACCGATGTTACTTGCTGGGCGTGAAATTGCTTAGTCTGAGGGTGGGGTGAGCACAGAGCAAGGCCCAGGGACGGGAGGCCCAGCAAACCAGTCCGTGTCCCCTTCTCTAAGAGCACTAGCTCCCAGTGTCCCATTTGCCTCTGTTCTGACACCTCGGCTGACCCCAGGATGCTGACTCTGGCCCTGTTTTTTCCAGGTGAAAACAGGACTAATGGTGAATGTAATTGGAATCTTCTGTGTATTTCTGGCAGTCAACACCTGGGGACGGGTCATATTTGCCCTGGATCATTTCCCTGACTGGGCTAATGTGACACTTATTGAGACTTAGGAAGAACCACGAGACCACGACGCAGGCCCCGCCCACCTGAGGACTCCTGAAACGCCCAGCACACCTTACAGCTGAGCTTTGGGGTTCACACCCGGAAGGGACCCAGTGATGCCCACACCCCGCCGGGTGAAGGCTAGGTAGGCTGGAGGGCAGGTTCGGACGTGAAGGGAGCCTCTCAAGAGGCAGCTGGCACCCTTCTTTCCCGGGGGCCTGCCATCATCTCTGGGACAGGCAGGCTGCACAGGGACCAGGGCTCTGGCTCCTGCCCCAACTCGGCCTTGTGCTGGCCTCACGCTGGGCTCTGATGTCCACTTGCTTGGTCCCAGGGTCCTCTAAATGGGAATCAGATCCCAGCTTAGGAGGTGAAAACACTACCTTCCAGAGCCCACGCCTCTTGCTGCCGGCTGTGGGCCGCCTCAGATCACTCCTGTCACTTGGAAGGGGCAACCCAGCCCAGGGACAGAATGTCTGGTCCTGGGAAGCTTCCCACTGCTGGAGTGAGAGTGGGAGTCAGAGCTTCCTGGAACCACCAGGAGGATAGTGCCACCGCCAAAGGAGGAGGAATTTGAGCGGACGCTTCTGGACAATATCACCCGCGCTACGCCATTGACGAACCAGCTCCCCTCCGTGCCTCACTCCATTCGAACTGAGCATTTAGACCCCTTCGCCAGCTTTCCATCACATCTCCTTCACCTCCTGGGTCCCTTTGTTTTCTGGGCCAATATTCACTGGGGTCCCCTGGCTGGGGCCCTCCTGCACCCCCTTTTCTTACAGGCAGGTCGCCTTGGCTCTTCTGGGAGATGCCCTTCCTGTCACCCCACACAGCTGAGATCACACTCCAAGTACGGGCAGCGATGGCCCCTTTGGGTCACAGTTGGGTATCTAGGCCCTCCCTCACCCGCAGGCCAGAGTGGATGCAGCTGTTAACTTCCAAGAGCAGGGTCCCTGCAGCGTTTCTGCCCGGCCAGGGTTCGCGTGACCCTGGGGAAAGCCTCCCCTTTGCTGACTGGCCTTCGCAGCCGTGCCCTGTACAGTCCCTCAGCATCCACGGGGGCTGGTGACAGAGTGTCACAGAGAATGAGCAGTGCTTGGTGGTCCCTGAGCAGACAGACCCTGCCCATAAGTGAATCTACCTGCAGTTGCTGGAGCAAAGACCCTGAATGGCCATGGGGACCCTCAGAACTCCTGTGAGGGAGACATGAGAGACACTCACCCTCTTTCCCAGCAACCCCATTTTCTTCCCTCCTGCTGCTGCTCTGGAAGGGAGGCAGTATCAGATATACGAGGTCCAGGGATGGCATTTTTCAGGGCCGGAGAAATTAGGGGAACCCAAGGAAACCCCCTCAAGGACTGAGCATGTACCTGGTTCCTTGGGTAGGAAGATTCTTGATCCCCCCCACCCCGCCATCCGCCTCCCATGGGAAGGTGCGCTGAGCTGACTGTCTCTGGCCCTCTGCTGTGTGGGTGGGGTCGGGGGGCAGGCGGATGAACCAACACTCACTGTCCCCCTTCCCGTGGGCCAGGACCCCTGCAGCTGGGGCATCCACTGCTTAGGCTCGTTTGACATTCGCAGCAGCCCTGTGACACAGCCAGGTGTTATCCTTGTTTGTCGTTCAAGAATAACGAGGCTCAGAGAAACCAAGCAAGCCATGCGTCCCATCACACAAGAAGTTGGCGCTGAGATCTTCAGCTTCCATGTCCATTGCTCCTTCCTCTAGTCATTAAGGGCCTTGGCCTTACAAGGCCTGTGGGGGAAAGTGGGCAGCCAAGAACAAGTCCGCCCCAAGGCCCTGCCTGCTCAGGGAAGATCATCAAACCAGAGCCCCTTTCTGCCGCTTCCTCCAAGACGGGCTCAGGACAGTGCTGGAACAGACAGGGCTCATCTTTGCCTGAAGAAGCAAAGTATTTGTTTGGACAGAACCGCATGAAAGTGCCTACCTGCTCTCCCACTGAGGTGAAACTGATCCACCCCCTGTTACTGCTCTCTACACCCCTGAGGACTTGTCTGGCAGCCAGTCTGCGGGCTCCCTGAGGACCTGCCCTGCCCGCTGGGTCCAGTGCCAGCACTGTGACTGACCCAGAGCATGCCACCCTAAGTGTGATCAGTAAATAAACAAGTGATCAATGTGGTCAATGAGATGCACGCCTTGCGGTAGTGGGCAACATCAGTGAAGGCCATCCGAGGCGGGCACTGGAAGATGAGTAGGACTGGCCAGGCCGATGAGGGGGGATGTGGTGAGGTGGGTGGAGGCCTCTACCAGACTCCCCCTGCTTGAGGGTTGACAAGAGAGCTGGATGGGGGCTTGAGGAGGGCGGATCCCACGGCTGAGGAGGCTGATCGAAGGCTGTTTCTATTCAACGCTGCTTGAAGTTGGCTCGAGTTACAGTAAGAGTTATGGCCAGTGCCAAACAGGATTGCTTTTGGCTACAAGTATGAGAAAAACTCAGCCAACGGTGGCTTATACCCTAAGGGCACTTAATGTCTGCTTAACAAGGAGTCTGGAGGTAGAGAGCTGCTGATACTGGCCCAGCATCTCACTTGGGCCACCAAGGACTTGGGCTCCAGCATCCACTCTGCCATCCTAAGGGTACCTTGCCTTTCTTTACTCTCATGCTTGACCCTCATGCTACATACACATCTGTATTGAAGGCAGAAAGAAAGAGGTATGGGGTGGGGGCCTGACCGTGCCTGCTTCATCTTTCCATTTTCTTAGGAAAGCAAAAACTTTCTCAGAAGCCCCCACCGACTTCCCTTTATGTCTTATTGGCCAGAACAAGGTCACGTGCCCATCCTTCAGTCAGTCATTGACAGCTGGTACTTGGAATACCCTGAGACCAATTAGAACCCATCACTTGGGCTTGGGGAACTGGCCTATGTGTCCCGAAATGACAAGATTTCCACCCACTTCAAAATCTGGGTCCTGGCAGGAAAAAAAGGGGGAGCTATTGGAGAGGTGATGAGTAGGATCTGGCGTTGGGACCCTTTCAGAGGGCTGCCCTCACTCCAGCCTGCTTGAGTGACTACCTTTCCATGGAATTTGGTAGAAACATATTCCCAGGGAGGAAGAGAGTACATGGTTGTGTGGTCAAGGGCTTCAGCTCTGCTTCCAGTTCCCAAAGGAGAGGATTCCAGGAGGCCCCCTGGATGGGGAGGCTAGAGTGAGAGTCATGGTTGAGATTGGTCCCGACACCTGACACAAGTCAGTCCTCTCTGGGCCTCAGCTTCTCTCAGGGAGGGGCTGGACTAGAGGACCTGGAAGGGCCTGTCTCCCCTACCCCATCTGATCCTTTATCCGCTTGGGCCAAGTGCAGTCCTGTCCCTGGTCCCCATGCTGTCTCAGCTTGGGGTCTGTTACACGCCTACTCCCTGTCCCCCTCTGGATCTTTTTGCAGAAGAAAGGGACGTTGCTGAAAGCCCTTTCAGACCTTTTCCCCATCCATATTTTGCTTACATCTCGTAAAGGGGTTCTAACCCAAGACCCTTTAGTTCTGGGTCTTGGGTGTAAGGCATCTGGATCAGACATTTGGACTGCTCGCAGCAGTTTTGCCAGGAATCTATGAGGATCCTATGTATTTGAAAGGTCAGGACCCTGGGTTCCTCACCCTGATACCACAGTTGGAATCCTCTCTTGTCCCTCTGAGCTGAGAACTTCCTTTGGAAAAGACCCGGGCCACCTCCCCCGGCAGGACCAGTGAGCAGGGCCTCCCCTGGGACGCGTGGAGTTCTTGCTCCTCCATGTGACTTCTCGAACACTCACAGAAAGAGTGGACAGCGAGGCTCTGGCTCTGGACCCCGAGCAGGGAATCGCGTCAGTAGCACAGAGCGCAGTTCTCAAAGTCAACACGGACATTCTTGTGTCAGGCCCTTGATGGCATATTCCTGTTTGTGGAAAAAGCACCAGCTGCAGCTGCTTGATTAAAAACTATACCATGCGGTCCTGTTCTCAGCTCAGAGCTCTTTCCTCCAGGACTCTCTCCCCCTGGTCCCACAGCCTCTGGCAGGCTTTGTGTCCCACCCCACCACAGAAGCTCTTTTTCACATTAAAAAAAAAATTGCGTCAAGATGGATCTTTCATGGGGTGAGTTTTTGTATTCCTTAAATAAAGCTTACCACTTCAGGCTGAAATCCTTGCCATCAGACATTCAGTTTATTTCCCTCCGTGTCCTAAGCCAGGGCTCACGTTCTGCATTCCCACTTCCCTGCCCCAGGGAATGTCTTCCAGGTGCTTCCTGGATCTGCTTGTCCACACGCCCACCCCCGCCTGAGAGACGGCAGCTGCCTCAGAGACGCAGCCGCCTGTGGCCAGCAGTTCTAGGGCAATGCTGATGTCCTTGCTTCCAGACACCAAGGATAAAGAAATACTAAAATTCAATCTCAGTCAAGAAATTTAAACTAATTTTTATATTTAAAAACCTATGAACACAGTGGAAGAAATTTCAATGTATAAAAACGGTTGAGACATGTCTGCCCACTTCAGAGGCCTCCACCCCTTCCAGAAAGACAGGCACCATCATCCATCCCTCACACGTTCTCCTGGAAATGTAACATACGTGTGAACTTATGTGATGGGTACAGGGCCTCCGTGTTACATATGGGAGCGTATGAGCGCGTCTTCTGTCTTTGTTGCCACTCCCCACTCCTCAATGCTGATAAATTTATTTGGAGATCATTCCATTTCGGGGCACATTAAGTTCGACTAGGGTGTTTTCTTTTTAATTCAATAAGTTTTGTTTTTAAATTGGGGCAAAATGAAATTCAGTGGATCGCACAAATCTTAAGCGTTCAATTCCGTGATGCAGACACGCCATGTCAGTTACACTCCGTTTCCATCTCCTTCCCTCTGAAAGTGCTCCTGCCCCCTCCCGTAATCTGGGGCTTCCCTGGGCAGGCGCTGTTCTTATTTGTTACCATGGGTCTGCTTCCCCCATTAAACTTCATATAAAGGGAATCCTACAGCACATACTCTTTTGTGTCTGATTTATTTTGTTGAGCAAAATGTTTTTGAAATTCATTCCTGTTGTTTTGTGTACCCAGTCATTCCTTTTGTTATTGTTGCTAAGGAGTGTCCCATTGTATGACTATGCCGCAATTTGTTTATTCTGCTTTAATGGATGTTTGGATGGTTCCAGTTTGGGGCTATTATCAATAAAGCTATTATTAAATTCTCTGAACAAGTCTCTTTGTGGTCATATGTTTTCACTGCTCTTGGATTTATGCCTATGAGTAAACCTCAGTCTTTTTAATAGTTGCATAGAATTCCCTCGTACAAAAAGTATATTCTATATAATAAACAAGTTCCCTACTAATGGGCATTTGGGCCATTTACAGTCTTTTGCAAAGACTGTAATAAACATATCTGTGCTTGCATCTTTGTGTACCTATGTGAGGAGAATACTGTCCTAGAACCAAGGCTGGATCAAGGAGTATGTGTATTTAAGTATGGGATACATGTTGCCAAATTGCTTCCCAAAGAGGTAGTGCCAATATAGTCTCGAGAACTGTTCATGAGACCTGACTATCACACACCCTTAGCAACTCTGCAAGAACTTCTCAATTTTTGCTAATCTGCTCATTGAAAAATGCCATCTCATGATTTTCATTTTCTTTAAATTGCAAGTAACATTGAACATTTTTCACATGTTTATAAACCATTTGTGTATCTTTTTTGTAAACTCCCTGTTTGTCTTCTCATTTTTTGAGTTTTTAAAAAGTCTCTTCTTATTCATTTGTAAGAACTCTTTATATATTGAGGAATTAGTCATTTATCTAATTAGGACTCTACCATGCATATTAAGAGCTGGTGAAGCTCATTACTCTTTATTCTTTTTAATTTATTCCCCCTAGCTATTCTCACATATTTTTCCATAAGTATTTCTGAATCAGCCTCTCTAGTTCCAAAGAAAACCTGCTTGGCATTTACCCCTCTGGCTCTCTCTCCTACTACTGTTTCTTTCCCTCTCCAGGGTTCCTTGACCTCATCTCTACTGGCATTTGGACCAAATAATTCTTTTGTGTAGGGAGCAGTTCTGTGCACTGTGGGATATTCAGCAGCATCTTGGCTTCTGTTCACCAGATGCCAATAGCAACCGTGCACCCTCCCAGCCTAGCTGTGACAATGAAAAATGTCGGCAGGCCCTGCCAAGTGTTTGAGACCGACTCACTCTGATCTAGCCACGCTGCCCTCCTTCATGTTCCTGGGGCGGCGGTTTTCAATTGGTGTGCCACGGCACCCAGGTGCGCCGCTCGAATTTTTGAAACACGCAATCTCTGACTATGTAGTCAGGCGCACGGACCTCTTTTCCCTTAGATTGTCAAATAAAAAAGTGACAAGAGCCAACACAAAATGGTACCTAATTTTTCATCAGATTGGCAAAAAATATACTTTTGAGCATGGTGCAGAATTTTCGTAATTAGTTTATGCGCGCCACGAGATGAAAACGGTTCGGAGTCACTGTCCTGGAGCATGCAAAGGATGCGCCTGCCCCCTCCCTCCTTTGGATCTCTGCTCAAATGTTACTTCTCAGCCTATTTTAAACTGTGGTTCCCCCACCGGTCCCACACCCTCTGTAGTGTTCCTGATTTTTCTTTTTTGCACCTTTCATCTTCTAAAAGACTATACACTTTACTCCTTTAGTTCTTTATTTCATTTGTCAGGGATATTTATTTGTTTTGTTATCGCCTGTATCCCCGTGCTTAGAACACACTTGGTACACAGTAGGTGCTCAGTAAATATCGAATGCATGACTGAATAGGAATAGATCTGTGGATTGGTTTAGGTGCGAGATGACAATACTGAATCATCCTACACAATGTGGTGTTTTTCCACATAGTAAAGCTTTCTTTTATGTCCTCCTATATAGTCTTAAAAGTGTCTTACAAATAAGAAATTCTAAATGTTTTTGTAGTGAACGTTTGCTGAGCCTGTTTTTTATTTTTCCCATTAGTGCACTTGGGAAACGAGACTGCCTGCCTCGGGCGGGGGCCGGGCCCCAGCGCCGTCCCTGGCAGGGGGACCCTGGGGCCTGCAGTGGTGCCTGGAGGCCCCCTGCTCCCCATCGCCCGCCCGGGGCTCTTCCTCACAGTCTCCGGGGAGGGCTTTGGCCTTGGCGGACGGTGCCAGCTGGACATCCAGCCCCATCCTTCTCCCTGAGGGGGCTCTGGCCCGGAGAGATGGAAGAGACATTGCTCACTGTGTGGGGCCTCTGTAGAGACCCAAGGGCTCATCTGTGAGCTTTCCTGCAGCGCAGGTGGCGCAAGCCAAGGGTGGCCTTACCTCTCCTGGGCAGCGCCTGTCGGATGGGAGGGACCTGTGATGGGGGCAGTCTGTTCAGAGGAGCAGGGGTCGGAGGAGAGACCTTTCCTTGGCAGGCTCTGAGAGGACAAGGGTAAGAGGTCTCCCTTCCGTGCCTCTGCTTCCTCAGACCCTTGCCGAGGGCCCCCGCTCCCTGCTTTGCACTGCCCTCTGGCCAGGCCCGAACCGTGGGGGAGGTGGGGAGGCCCAGGCATGGGCCTTTGCCTGTGAAATGGGCACAATGACCCTTCCGAGGTTCTGAGCGCTGTGAGCTGGCCCTACCTCAGGCACTTTGTGAAGGGGGCTGTTCTCATTTCGTCAGCTGTGGGTGCTACTCCCCGGGGTCTCCTTTTTGGCAGCACCTATGAGGATGCCTGTCAGAACCACATGAGCCCCAGGCCCATGCCAAGATCACCCTGACTGTGGCCGAGGAAGCCTCCAGAAGGGTCTGAAACTGTGATTTAGTGCACCCCGACCAGGAATGAGACCTCTAGAAGCACTAAGCTCCAAAAAGATTGTGCCGTCCCCTCTTGGATAACATAAAACAAGATATGCCCAGGAAGTGAGACCAGAGACCCCGACTCTTGGTGCAGAAAGTGCTGTAGAGCGTCCTGCCCTACTCTCTGCCCGGGACCTCCGTCAGGAGGCCCCCAGTGGCTCTGCTCAGAGCCCAGAGCTGGGAGACCCGGCAGGCAGGTCGGGGTTTTTGGGAGGCTTGGCCAGGGCCCTGCAGCATGCAGGGAGGCTGAGAGGCAGGCCCCCGGGGGGCTGTGGCAGTGTCCCGTGGTTCGCCACTTCACATTTATAGTTACAGTGCTTCTCAGTTTACTGTCCCTGCGGTGGGAGGCCTGGCTCTCTGGAAACCGCAGCTGTGGCTAGTGGGGTGCCTGCCTGAATGCTGAGCTGGGAGGGAGGCTCCGAAGTCTCCCGGGACACTGCGGCCCAGCCCCCACCTTGGGCGGTCCTGGTCTCTTCCCAGAGCCAGGTTTCAGGCTGGAGGGAGCTGGCAGATATGCAGGGCCCCCTGGTACCCTCACCCCAACTGGCGTCCGTGAGGAGCAAGAGCCTTGCCAGGGCTGCTCCTTCAGCCCCAAGGGGCTCTGGGAAAAGGGAGGGACAGTTGGTGAGAGTGAGTCATGAGTCTAGTGAAGGGGCTTCCAGGCCGGGGCTGGGCCACCTGGAGCTTGATACTCGATCAGCACATGGGAGCTGCTCTCTCCAGTGTGCGTTCCTTACCCCGCAGGGCTGCGCACGCAGTCCCACCGCTGGAGTGGCTGGCCCTGTGCCTTCCCCGCCTCACGGCCTGACTCTCAGCAGACAGCACAGCAGATGTTGTCTCTGCTCGCCCAGGGAGGTGTCTGAGGCTGGGAGAGGTTAGGGAGGTAGGTGAGCTGTCTGAACGCTGGCAGCCTTGGCGGAGCCAGAACCAGAACCGTGAGCTGGACTCCAAAGCCCCGTTCTTGTCACTGTGCCAGGTGGACCCCAATGTTCGTCTCAGCTAGGGAGTGGGGTCCTGCTGGTTTGTCGGAGCCCTGGGCGGAGCAGGGCCTGGCTCCTGGGCACCCAGCATGAATCTGCCCTGCTCTGGCTCAGCTAAGGGACGGCCCAGTCGCAGACCGACTCCCTGCGCTCCCCCACCGGGGCCCCGGGGCCCTGGCTCCGGCCTGCTCTTTTGAAACTCTGGGATTAGAACGGCAGGTCTGGGAGGGAGGGCGGGAGTCTGGGGCCAGGAATGAGACAGGCCTCTGGGGCGTCTGGAAGCTCACACCCTGCAATCGAGGGAAACCCCAGAGAGCAAACAGGGGAGGGGAGGGGATGGGGCAGGTAGGGCCATGATTACTGGGTGGGGTGTGGAGGGGACCCATGGGACCGCGGGCCCACCTTGGGGAGGTGAGGCAGGAGGGCAGATACCTAAAAACGGAGCTGATTCTCACATAAATAGAATACCTATTGGGTGTGTTTCCTTTTTAAAGTTAGGGGTTATTTCAGTTCCCTTCCTCAGCAAACACCCTTGGCATGCCAGTCCGCAGTGGTTTCTGCCTGGTGACACGGGCAGCTGCCTGGCAAACTGGTCATGGTGCCCTTATTCTGGGTCCCTGCAGCAAAGAGCAACTCAGTTCTACATTCACCCACTGCTGCTGGATGCTTGGTCTGTGCCGGGGCGGGGTGGTGGGGGCAGGGATGGGGTCCCAGGGGAGAAGCAGGTCCTGTCCCTGCCCTGCGGGGCATGAAAGGTCCTCCTACACATTGTACAGCACGGGGCAGGGTTCACTCAGCCTGTGCCAGTTGGAAAGGCTTCCCAGGATCTATTCTAAGCGGAGTTTTGAAGGATGCATGTGAGTTTTCCAGACTCTCCTTTTTTCTTGCAACAAACAATAAGCACCTACTATGTGCTGGGCATCAAACTAGTAACAGAGAGACAGGACAGAGGCCTTGCCCTGAGAAGCCTAGGAGAAGAGTCTTGTGAGTGGTGACAACAATGTCTTAAGTGTTAGAAGTGTGTGTAAGATGCATCGAAGGCCAGAAGAAGGGACCGTCCATTCCCTTTGGGGACACAGGAGCCAGGGTCTGCACCGGGCGCTGGCTGGCTTGTCCTGGGATTTGGCTGAGGCAGGGGAGCCCCATTCTGCAGGAGAGTAGTGCTAAGAATAGGTATTGGGATCGGGCTTCCTTAAGCCCAAGTGCTTAGCGTGTTGCCCAGGCCCACAGGACCACCAAGCAGCAGCCAGGAGCAGAGCCGGTGGTTTCAGGCCTGCTGTCTATGTGCTTTGGGGACTTCGGACGACTGGGTTGCAGCTCCCGCTCCACGTAC